TTAAATTATTTCTGTAATAAATGTTGGTTTTGTTTACATTAATTTTGTTACATTTGTAATGTATCTTTGTTTGTTTTATAGAATAGAGTTTCATAGAAATTTTTTCAAAATTAAAAATTTATTTGTGGAAATAAAATCAATGTATTGCTGATTCAACAGCTTCTATTAAAATTTTTATTTAGATTTAATTATACAGATGTTTATTTATGATTTACTAGTGTTTTTGTATCTCAGGAAAAATGTAAAAGCATTTAAAANGTTCGGCTGCCCGATGACGGTTTACGTACTATAGGAGTTATTTTTACCGTTGTTTACGGATAATGCCACAATTTTTATAGGAATCATAACTATAGGAAACGGTTTTATAGGGGGATCTACTGTATATGCTCTTTGCCTCAAATTAGTAGTGGCTTGCCCCTGTACATCATACTTTTCCTGTTAGATGACCTGCATGATTATTGCTATCTAACACCTTTTAGGGGAAAATATTTGAATTGAAATAAAATGACTTCTGGTTTGCAATGGAAATTCATACATAGTTGACTGGGGCCTCCTGCCCCTAAGGTTTCTGTATCTGGTCTCATCTTTCATCTATCTAACTCTGTTCTTGAGATTAAGGAAAGACAGATGAATGAACAGTGGGACAACAGTGGGAATTTATAGGTCTACAATTTTGTCAAATTGCAGTCCAATTAATGTCCACATAGAATTACAGTTGTTGCAGAAAGTATAATCAGAATAAGTCCATTCTTTTTCATAGTTTGCATTGTCATTTTAAAAAAATTGTTTTCCACATAACTAATTTTAATTTTCCTTAATCTTTAATAATAGTTTTCAAAAAATTAATGATTATTTAATCCTCTAAAACTCAGGTCAAGACCATCTAAATGATCATTATTGAATTTATCACTACTAATATATCGGCATTTTTGAACTAGCATTTCTGTAAAAGTTACTGAATTGTGGGGAAAACCTTCAGTGGAAAAAACAAAATGGAATCATCAGGATATATAACATACATCATACATTCTGATGACAACATTTACATTGATCAAAATGGAGTTTCAAACTCTCAATTAATTAATTCATTGAGTTAACATTATTGATATTTAGGGTACATAACTGTAAGAATAATCTCTTTCAAGATATTTTATATATTAGAATCACAAAAATAAGATGATGTGAATATTTACTACAAATAAAATTAGCAGAATAATAAGTTCAATGTTCACATACTTCATTAAATAAGTATTAAATAAGAAATTACTTTTAAAAAATAGAAATGCTTAAGTATACATCAAATTTGAAATGGAATTAAAATATTTATCATCAGTTTTATTTGAAACTTTCATAAATTTAATCTACATATTTAAAACAAAACAAAAACAATTTTTTTGCAGAATTTTGTCAATAAGAAATAGGCCAACATAAGGTCAAACGAGACATTTTAATTTATATAGGTATATACGTATATAAATTAAAATGTCTAGTTTGGCCTTATGTTAACTCACTTATTGACATATATATAAAAATTCTTTATATATAATATATATGTATATATAACAGAAATTTTTATGAAGAATTAAACATTCCAATTTTTAGCCTGTAGTCATTAACCAATTGATATCTCAATAATAATTAATAAAGTTGAATAATTATATAAAATGAGAAGTTTTTATTGACAGTTGAACCTACTTAATGCCACACATTGGTTATTGTCACAAAAATTTTTATCCCAGTCAACCCTCATGGCAAATGAGTTTTCTCTGGATAATATCATCTATAATGTAATATAATGTCATTCTGTCTTTTAGCATATATTGATTAATATCAAGGTATTTGTGTACACAGTGGGTTTAAATACTCCATTTTAATATCATAAAGTTTGCAGATAAAGCAGCTCAACACAGTCTATTGACATTTTTTAAATTATTAATTTTTAAACAGGTATATGTTGTTGGATTTTAAGTGTAAAATCTAACTGTTTTCTTGCCCAAAATGAATTTTTTTTTTGAGAATGACATAGCAGTTTTTAGCTTCAAAGTTAGAAGCATTACACTGTAACTTTGTTTGGTTATTCTTATCAAGTAGAGTACACTGCAAAGATTAATCTTACTGTGTAATTCTGATATGGATTTAAAAAAAGCTATACAAAATGTCAATTTCAATGCTGAAATGGCATTCTGAAAAAAACTGATAAAAAATTGTTGAGGAAGAACACTGAATAAATTTGGCACTGAAGATTTAATTGTATCAAAACTTCTTAAAAACAGGTGTTTTTCCAATTTTGGCTCTTTCACTCTTTGATAACTGTGTCAAATTAAAGTAAAAAAAATACATGCATTTACTTTTATTTGATTTTATGATTGTTAAGTACAAAATTACATGTTAAGGTTATTATTTTATTATATATTTAAATTTAATGTGGCAAATGTAAGACATATACAGTAGGCCTTCATGTACAGATGCAGTTAAAACCTTTTGATCAAATCTAAAATTCTTGTATTGTATTAAGTCTCACAGATATAATATTAAATGGATTTGACTGTATATTTGTGTTATTATATTCTCTGAACTCAAATATTTTATCATTATAAGAAAATATTAAATCATAACAAATCTCAGAAATATGACCCATTTTTCAGAAAAATGTATTAAAACCTCTAGATTATAAATCATAAAATTTTGGAATAAATCATTTTAAAAATAATATATAGCTTTCATGATTTTTTTAAAAATTATAAGCTTTATTTTAATTGATTACGCAAGCATTTTTCTATATTTTTGTACAATCTAACAGAAAGAAAGAATATTCAGTTTTTCTTTTCCAGTTATTGCTAATTATCAGAATTTATGGCTTCTATTATACTTATAAAATTCAAGCTTACACCATTCTTTAATTTTTAAAGAGTTACATCGTTTAGAAAAAATACCAACTTGCGATTATTAAAAAATAAAATAATGTTTAACTTATAGTATTTTTTTAAATCATTTGAATAACTTTATTGAGGTTTTTTTGGTTATAAATCAAATTACAAGATAGATTAGTGATGATCCGTCCAATTATAAATAACTTTTATAATAATTTTAATTAAATTAATTTTAAATAATGCAATATTAAAAATAAAAATATACTGTAATACAAATTTATATGTAGAAAAAATAAGTAAAATGTTATTAAACAATGATGTAATAAAAATAGTTTTAAGCAAATAATGTTTTTATGAAGCATTTTCCCAATTAAAAAATTATTTAACCAGGTCCTTTCTTATATAATCTTGTATACAAAAGGTAATTGAAAACAATTAATTATTATGGAAGATAATATATTAATTGTTACAGAAAACTTAAGTTAAAACTTTGTAAGTTAAACTGAACTAAAAACTCTAAGAATATTAAAAATTACAAAATAATATATTTCAATGTACTGTACTTCATTTACATTTCATCATTAATTTTATCTTATTTGTTAAAAGAATATTTAAAGAAACAGTAAAAATGTTTTTTGTAATATAATTTGATTTATTTTATAACAGTTACAATTATATAAATCAAAATGAAAATATTGTAGAGTTTTAGCTTTTGAAAGTAATTTAATTATTATTCCAAGACAAAATTTATAATAATGTTAGTATAGATAATGTATAATTTATAATATGTAAGAATAGTTGTAATTTATATTGCACAGTATTACAATTAATATTGTAAATTTACTTTCTTAAATTATCTGGACTTTTTAAAATAAAAAAAGCTATATGAATTTTAAATTAACTATATCAAAATTCATTTGCATTTTATAATCATCAAATGTTATGTAAGTATAATAATAAACAAGTACTTATAAATATTTCAAATTCATCATTTAGCAATTATTACATCATCAATTCTCAGGTTTAATTAGTTCAATTGGCAAATATTGATAGATTAAAACCATCAATGTTAGTAAAATTTGTCACATGGCAGTTAATTTTTTTCCATTTATAAAATTTGACAATATAATTTGCATGTAAATATAGTTTTAAATTATTTAATACATCAGACCACTGAGGAATAATTTTTATTCATCAGTGGCTTGATAAATTAACTCCAACTGTCAATATGAATCTAGGAAATACAAATATTTGATGGATTCATACCAATATATAAATTTATTAATTATTTTCTTTTCCCTGAAGTAAATTCTTCCAACAACGCAAAGGGTTATAAATATAATTTCTAGATGTTTATAGAATAAACTTTTTGTAAATTTGTAATCCATAAAATATGAACAACAATTAGAATTAAATTTCAGTAATTTTAGATATTTTTTCTTAATATTTAGCTCACCTTCTCATTAGTGTTCTATTTTGAAGATTCAATTTTTGAAAGTGAAAAAATTACAGCATATAATATGAAATATACCATGCTATAGTACTGTAAGTAATCCATTATATTTAATATTTTGATAACAGTATTCTGATTGAAAGAACATGATTATTATCTCTAAAATAAAGAACAGAATAATAATAAAAAAATTAAAGCAGATTAAACTGCATAAGCAAGAATAATAGAATAAAAAAATAAAATATCATGCAAAATTCAGAACATACTTGGAGTTGAAATTATAATTAAAACTTTGCTTATAACAACAGAAGAAGCTGAATGTAATTGCAACATTTACTAGCAGAAAGATTGATAATTNATTGTATATACAATATATATATATATATATATATACGATCAGTGAGATAACTGAAATTTGTAACCCAGTAATCATTGAGATCTAAAACCCTACAGATCAAATTTGTCACTATTTTGTATCGTCATCATAATCATCATATAAAATACACAGTTTGTAAATTAAAATTATAAAAATTGTACAGTTTTATGTGATGATATTTAATTTTTTTGAATCACTTTTTTAAAAGACCCAGTAATTTGAACTAATCTTACTTGCTTGGGTCATGATTTCAGGTACCTTACTTTAATGTTACTTTTTTTTTTTTGTTTTGTTTTTTTCAAAATTAGAACTATAAAAATATAAATTTAAATATTTCAAGTGAAAAAAACAATGCTTTGGATTTAGCTATTTTGTAAAACAATTTCTAAAACAAGAGGGATCTTATAAATAATCCTTGTCCACTAAGAATAATCTATCAATTTAGTGATTTTCATTGGCACATTATTATTTAAAAGAAAGTTATCCAATATTGCAAAGCCTCTTCTAGCATTTCCTAACCTTTATACAATGCTGCAAAGTTTTAAGCCCTGAGAGGTGACTGATTACGGAGCATCATTCAATCACAGTTTGTAACTTCAAAGGCACTTTCCTTTGATAAACAATACATTGATGATAAATCACAGTTATTAATCATCAGCAATATTACTGACAGTTTCTTCTCTTCCACTAAGTATATGTTTCTTCAATAGTGCTTCCAGTTTCTTACGAGCCTTTTTTTCTTCATCAAGACTCTTAGCTAGGGCAGCAGTCTCCTATAAATAGAAATCTTATTTGTCAAATTTATAGTTATTTTAAATTAATAAAGTAGAGTACATACCACTTTCAGTTCTTTTACTTGATCTTTTAAAGCATATACAGTGTCAACCAAACTTCTACAAAAAAAATTAATAAATTAAGCAAATATCCTAAAATGTAATATAATAAATTTAAAATTTTTTATAACAGATTGCAATCAGTGTAATTTATAAACTTTGATAATCTTTAATTACATCATATTTAAGACATACTTTTGCATGTCAACTGGTTTTTGTTTAACCAAAATGATTTCTGTTACAACATTCTGCATCTCCTTGTTTTTGTGTTTTGTCAACTTGAATAGAAACAACTTGTCAAGTCATTTAGCATTTCAGTCAAAGAAACTAATAGGTTAATGATAATCCTGTTTGCTTACATATAAACAAAGCATTCCTCCAGAAACAATATAAATTGAAAGTGATTACTTAACCAAATGCTGGTTGATCAGCTAAATTTAACTATATGAAAACATACTTAGTGATGTACTTTATCTGTTAATCAAGAATATCATAAAGTACTCAGCAAATCACTATACATATAACTAACACTTTATCCTTGCCGAGAAATATAATTTATTTCAAACAAACGTTTTCAGCCTGATTCAGGTGGGTAATTCAAAAAATTGAACACAGGCTGAAAACGTTTGTTTGAAATAAATTATATTTCTCGGCAAGGATAAGGTGTTAGTTATATGTCTGTTAGCCAAGTTTATAATTTAGCTCAACGGTCATATGGCTCCTAAATCTGTAATTAAAATATTACAAAATTATAATAATTCTCTTCCATTCAGTACAGATAAAGCATTTAAATGCTTCTAGAGGCCTGGATGATGGAAAACATTTTGAAATTTAACATTCAGATGCATTTTAAAATATAAATTACAATAGAACATAAGTTGATTTGCATGACTTTAACAGAACATGAGAAACTAGACATCTTAGCACTCTTTAAGAACATACCATACAAAAGTTTAACACCTGATTAAATTTTTAACTAAAAATATGTATTTTGGTATTTAAAAACATATATATTTATTTGCCATCTATTGTGCAAATGGCATCATAGATCATGATGCTGAAGTTATAACAATGAGCCAGTTTGAAAGCTGAAAATGCATGTTTTAATACAATTTTACTGCTTTGATAAAAATATGAAGTTGATATAACTGAAAGAAAAACTCTGACTTATGATGTTAAAACAAATTTATATAGGAAATTATGGAAGAACTTTCATAAACTTTCATTTCTGTCATCATAAGTGAAAATGTTCAAACATTGAATTGTACTTTATGGAAGTCAAATGGTTGCGGTTAAACACAAGTAGAATTCTTAGAATATTTAAATATAAAACAGGAATATTATCTGATTGGTATCGGGTTGAGCGTTGTTATCAACATTTCCCACACTCTGAAATGTTTTGAATTGTCACATGGAGACAAGGGAAGACCAATTGGTATTCATTATTTTACATTGCTTCTTATTGTGTTTGTTCTGTGAGGTGTTTATCTGAACATGTTTGTTGTAACTGTTCATTAACCAATCACCCACTATATTATGCTTTTAAATTATTATAACTATTAATTCAAAAAATATACTATTTTTAATTGTTTGAAAGAATCTAATATTCTTTCAAACAATTTAGTTTTAGTTAGAAATGCAACTTTTGTTTTATTATTCTTTTTTTTTGTTTAATCCATTCTCATGCAATTAAATGAATTATTATATACAGTAGAAACTTGATTATCTGAAATGGTTTTCAAAAAAACTAAAACCTGTCACATTGTTCATATCACAGAGACCAAACTTTCTATGTAACTACATCATTTGTTGATTGTAGCACCACAAAACTAGATCATATACATAACAAGTTAAATTTTAAATTAATTTACTTTCAAATACAGTAATTTCAATACAGTATTTATAGTTGACAAAACTTTAGATGAACAGTATTACATGCACTCAAAACACAAAAACAAGTTGCTAGATTATTCAAAGACCCTTGAGCCAGTCAAGTTTGGATAATCAAGTTTCCAGTGTGTATATGTATATATATATTAATTTTTGTTTTTACCTTTCTTCAACAATAGTTGTATTTCCTCTAATTTCTTCTACTATAATTTTTTCTTCTTCAGCAATCAATACTTGTGGGGTATCTATAAGAGCTATAGTAAAATGGAAAAATAACACAGGGAAAGGACAAAATAATAATAATAATTATAAATAATTCAAATAATGAACTTTATGAATATTTTACATTATATTAAATAAAAATATTTATAAGTTAATGTAACACCTTATATATAATTTTAAAAAATGATGATAATGGTTCAACTATTTTTATAAATTCTTATTTTTTAATGAGTCTTAAGATATATATAGAATAAATCTAAATAATTACATTTACTCAATTTCTTGCTGAGTTAATTTATTTATAAAATAAATTAAATTTAGGAGATATTTGTAATTACTATTTTTTTAGTTATATGAATATTTTTTACACCAAAATACATATTATTTAATATCTATTATAATAAATTTACATATCCAAAGACATTTTTGATTTAAATTAATCACAAGTTAATATTGTCAAAAATATATCCAATATCTACATTTAGCATAAATGTTAGATAAATATTTAGTATGTAAAATAATTTGCAAGTTGTTTTCACTTTTAGATCAGAGAAAAACAAATAAAAATTTTTAAAATTTTTCTACTTTTATAAGTAATTAATAGGTTTTTATTTTATAAAACAATAATTTTAATTTCCTTTCAAAATCTTTTGAATCTAATCTTTTTGTTTTATTTAAAATTTCTTCTTGCTTAATTAAAGATTAAAACTATAATGTACTGTACATTATTACAGTAATCCTGTGACATATAAAAAGATGTTTTAAAGGATATCCTTCATTTTTCTTATTTTCTACGCACAATCATAATTGTCTTATACTTTCTAACAATGTTTTAAAAGTTTTTAAATACATTCTGAATATAATTAAATTACATACATACTTTTCAAAGTAATGTGAATTATTCTGATCATGGATAGAGTTTACAAGATAATGAAACAAAAAATAATCAAAACATAATATTTGACCATTGTATCAACAAAAATTACATTAAATAAACTATCTATCACTTTGCATTTGACCTATTCCTGTTGTTTATAATAGTTAAAATTAAATATTAAACAATCAAGCATTTAAAATGTTTTGTTTCTAAATTGTATTATATTTCACTTACAAAACAAAAATAGAATAAATATGTTACTTTTAAATTAATTCTTTGCATTAAAGATTTTTGATTTTATACAAAATGCATATCTCATTAGCATAAAATTATAAAATTTTACAACAAATAGAAACTAATAATGCTAATATTTCTGAAATAGTGTTTCTTTAAAAATTAAAATAAATATTAAAAAAACTTAATCTTGAAATGCATATTTCATTACAAGAGATGATATAAGATTCTTTTATCAAGTCTTTATGAAAGTTCATTAATTAATAATTATATTTTAATTTTCATGGCAATACTATTTCTAAAGTTTAATATTTCAATTTGTTCAAAATGATGAAAAATTTGCATTATAAAATGAATTTCTTTCATCATTAACAGAATTCAGATTAGAAATTATGATGTTATTACAAAATAGTGTAAGTTTATATTTAAATAACGTGTCAGTGTTTTATAAAAAAAATAATTCAGATTTATATTTTTGTAATCAATTTTTCTAGAATTATTTAATGTAATATTATTTGAAAAATTATTCAATAATATAAATTCATAAATTAGTATCTATACAAAAAAATCTGATGTTTCAACTTGAAAATTATGAAGACCATTGAATAGTCATTACAAAGGATCAATATATTGATTTTAAGAGCTCAAGCAATCAATATATTAATAAAACTTAGTGATTAAACGGTTTTAACAGATTTTAGCAAACTAACGAACTGCAGTATGACAATATTGACCTTCCTTTTTTGGGGTATTTGTCTGTTAATCAATAATGATAATTCTGTTCAGAAATTACAAAAAGGATATAATTTAATTCCATTTAATCTCTCCAACAAGAAAAAATATTCCCTTTAAAAAATTCTTTATTAATCAACATGTTTGATCTCTGAAAAATTAGATGTGTTACATTTCACATTTCTAATTATTATTTTTGGAAACAAGCAATTATTTATTGTGACACTGTCACAATGCCGGGCTGCAATTTTTAATCATATTTTTAATTTAAAATACAGTAGATCCCCCTATAAGACGGTAGATACGTTCCGTTCTTTATGAATCAATTTTGTAGGAATCATAGTTTACGGACTACGGCTGTTTGAAAGGTTTTCTTTCATAAAATTAATCGATTCTAGACTAATTCGACTCAACATTTCCAAAATACGTATATTTTTTTG